GGGGGAAGAAGTGACTCAGAGGAGCCAGTGCTGCTGTCACCCTGCAGTGGGTGGTGGTGGAAAAACCTGCAGGAGAGAGAGAAGTGGGAGATGGGAATGATTCTCTCTCAGCCTTATGCTTCTTACTCGGCCTGCTCCACAGTTTGTCCCATCTGGGGAGGGTTTGCTAAGCCTCTGTTGCTCCCCACGACTGTCCTGATGAGTAACTTGGTGTTTTCCAACCTCTTAGACTTGACCATGGGCCTGTGGGTTGTCCCAGTGCTCCACTTTCCCTCATTTCACAGGCTGTGATTCTGTTTAGCACAGGAACTGGTGGCCCTGTCACCTTCCACCCTTTGCCATCTCTTCCCTGTACCAGGTGATGGGTTAGCTTGAAAACAGAAAAACCTGGAGCTGGAGAAAAGCTGGTGCTTAAAAGCTCCTCTGCCTTTTCCAGCTGTTTTCCCATGCTCCCTAAGAGCCTTCCCTGCTTGCATCCCCCAACCCTTTCAGCTTTTTTATTCCAGAGCACTCAAACATCCAGCCAAGTGCAGGCAGAAAGAAGCAGGCAGTGTGAGAGGGTGAAACATTTTGGCTGCTGGATGCCCTGGGCCTTGGTGGCTTCTTGTGGGAACGTGCTGCTCCTGAAGGACAGGGCTGGGACAGTGGTGCTGCTGCTGGGGGATTTGGGGAGTATTTCAGGGGTCTAGCTCTGCATGGCAGTGCTGCAGATGGTGGCTCTTCAGGCCACGCTCCTTGGGGACACCTTGGACACACAGAGCTGAGGTCTGTCCAGGAGAAGTGATGCAGCTGGTGGAAGATGCTCCGTGAAGGTGGATTTAACTGCAGAGACTGGGAGGTGAGGCCTGGCCTTGGGGAAGTGAGCAGGGACTGGAGCACAGCAGGTAGGAACTGACTGGGGTGGGTGGGATGGAAGGGGGAACAGCACCCAGGCACCTTCAGCAGGCAGCCCCTGCTCCAGGGCAGCTCCACAGTGGGATATCTGCACAGGGAGGGGGATGCTGTTGTCCCCTTCCCACCACCATC